AGTTTTGATCATTAAAGAACAAACTGGTTTTGAATAAATAAACAACTGTAACTCCTTTGTTTCTCAGTGAAATTAGTGCTGTAGTTACAGGTGTGATGTTGCAAGGAAATTCTGTTTTCCGATTTAATTCCACATGTAATTGTTGAAGCTAAAATTATTCACAGTTAACAATTTTTTTTAAATACATTTGCAGTAGTCTCTAGTGGGAACAGATGTCTTTCGAGTCATACTTGGCAGAAATAAATCTCTGGTGCACCTGTTTCAGGAACTAGAAGTGAGCTCGAGCAGAAGAGATCTGAACACGGCAGGCCCAGCCCCAATACTGGCACTGCACCCTACGGTCTTCTGGGAAGTGCACTTGGAGGAGTAACCCCGGCTTTCCACAGCAGCCGTCAGCAGCACGTTACTGCAGCAGCACGTCATAGCTGCTGATAGGAACGGCTGTGGTCAACAGAACCTTTTCCACTGGCGCCGTCGGCAGCCGTCAGCAGCGCGAGTCGGCCGCGTCTCAGGAGCAGCATGTCGCGGCCTTTACGCGCCGGTTCTATTTCCTACGCGCGACGCCTCTGAAACGGGTCAAGTTCGACATTTTTGGGGAAGGAAAGACAGGAAATCGGACGCGGAAATGGAGAGAAGCTCCCGAGATTTTCAGAACAAAGAACGTACTGCCTTCCGGTCGCTTTACTTTAAAAAAGGTTACTAACTGTGCGGCCCCGTGAGAAGTTATCATCTAGCTAGCGGTCTCCTTTTTTTTTCAGGTCCGTATTGGCGATTATAAAACGGACAGAACATAAAAACACAAACATTTTGGAGCCATGTTGTAGTTTTCTCCTGCTTGTTGTTGTGTTTACTGACGAAGTCACTCGTGTGACTTCGTGCTCGGTCGGTGACAGCTGCTCCCCTGCTGATTCGCGTCTCGTGGGAAGGGCCAAGCAGCAGCTTACGCGAGCAAGACGTGCTGCTGCAGTAACATGCTGCTGACGGCTCCCGTGGAAACCCGGGGTAAGACTTCGAGTGTGCAGTACACAACTGCAGTTGAACTGGGTCAGTGTCCATTGCATCAAAGGCCACGTATGGTGGGATGCCGGTCGCTGTTTTTGCAACTTTAACAAAAAAATCTTTATTAACAACTTTCAAACAAACAGTTGACTGTCACACCCTGTCCTGTCTCCCCATTTGGTTCAGCCTGTGTCTCTGTTGATTGCTCCCACCTGCCTCTCGTTTCCCAATCACCCAAGATCACAGCCCTCTTGTATTTAAACCCCTCCAGTTCTGTGTCTCTTGCTGCCTCATTGTTTCCATGTCCTGTGTCCAGTGATCATTAAAAACCTTTTACGTTTTCGAGTTTGTCTGCCTGCCTGATCCCTCCCCAGCATTTGGATCCTCACCTCCGCTCCGCTCACCAGCGCGTCGTGACATTGACAACATTTACATTAATTGCTGTCCACATTAACTCTTAGTCTAAAACATTCAGAGCATGAATAATTGTTGTAAAATAAGTTTCAGTGGGTGCACGGGCAGAATATCTTGCTCTCCAGTCAGAACCTAAAAGCAACATCAGTAGGCAGAAATGATCAAAAAATACTCTTTATTAGCATAACCGAAGAATAAAACACCACGGGCGAGTCCCGCTGTGGAACTCGTTGGCTACTGCCTCTTGTCCCTTTAAGATAAAACCAGCCGTTCAGCACAAGTAAGATCAGTCAGGTACTTAGCTGGCCCAGTCGATGCGACCCCCTCCCCGGGGTCTGGGCTTCCAATGCCGTCCAACGCCCCGGGGTTCAGCTTGCGAGGACTGCAGGTGGGTCCACGGCTCAGGTCCGGCTGCCAGAGTTTGCTGCGGCAGATGTCGGCGTGGTCTCGGCACCCAACTACTCCCAGTCCTCACTACCTAAAGAAGGCATTGAGCCTCCCCTCCTAGTGCTGGAAGACTGCCCACCTACTCAGCTGTCTTCATCGCCAGCAGTCCTAACCAACTGTGAATGATCCCACCCCCCAGAACCGGGTGCCACAATGACAGGTCGACCACACACCCACCTTGGTAGATCTGCCACCCTTTTATCATCTCCAGTCTCATCACGCCTGACAAGCACCAGCCGACGTCCAGTCACCACGCCCCCAGAATCTGGCAAATCCCGTCTTCTGCCTTTCACAAGATTGTTAATCTCTCAAAATTAACGTCTCACGTTTGAAAGTACATATTTTCAGAAAAGGCACTTGAGCCGTTGTTCTGCCTTCTTATCAAAACTCCCACACAGCAATGGATTGTGGGCAATACCCTTCACCCAAGTCCACATCGATGCAGATTTGGGCAAAGTGTGGATCAAGGGTACAAAACGCGCAATTAACGCACAATTGAAGGGTGCAATGTTGGAAGTGCAAGTATTGGGATTGGGCCTTATTTCCTGACATTTGGACATCTCACCTGTTATGGTCTAAAAGCAACACAACTCTACCACTGATTGCATTGCTGTGCAACGTTGATGTTTTATCTCCACAAATGACACAACCCTGAAGGAGTTCTGCTGTATGGTGGAGTTGCTAATGCTATCAGTTAGCTTCTACTAGTTAAGACATTCACTGCTGTTTCCTGGACACTAAATTAACAACAGCCTTCTCCGTCGAGAGTCAAGATGGGTGAGTCCATGCATGTTAAGTGACAGTGTGACATAGATCTGTCAGGCATTTCTAATCCTAGAGTTTCTCCATCTGTTTTCTATCAGTAGGTGTAGGAGACTATTTTCATGTTCAGCCTGCATGACAAACTCAGAATCATAATCAGAAATAATCATTAAAAATGTGATTTTTCAGTGAAGAACAACTTCAAATATACATTATATTGTATTTTGCTAAATATGCATAATGTCCTGAGATAATACATAAATGTGAGTCCAGCTGGACTCTTCAAGGTGTTGAGAAGGTCAGTAATTTAGAAATGTGCTTCAGGTTGTATAAAAACACAGAGAACGTCCACGCTCATGAATTTAATGTGATAATAAATGGACAGCTCCAGGCACAGGACTGCACGGTGAATTAGGAGAAGGACTAATCCGTAACAGAGGAGTGAGTGAGCTCCAAGAACAGTGCCTCTATGTACAAAAGAGAATGATTCATGTGATCTGCCTTAACTTCATTTGCAAATAAACTTTTTGTAAAGACCAAATGGCAGCGTCTTGTAGTTGGCACCATCCTAGCTATTATGCCGCAAAGCCAGCTGTCCTAGTCTCACAAAGATTTGTAATTTAATAAAACTGTCTTCTCTTGCAACAAACTCAAGATCAAATAGGCAACTGAAACTTTTCCTTAAATAAAATTTTATTTGGACTTCCTTTCCCCATGTTTGATCCAGTTTATGATTAGATTGCTTTGAAATTCTTTGCATTTAACTGGACATTTTATCCAAGTAAAAGCTTTTCCTTATACTATTCAACAACTTGATTTGGTGGTTCTTCTGTGGCACTCAGAGGATGAAACTCAATGGGATAGCCTCATAGAAGATCTCTCTAAGTCATAGCTCACCCAGTCAGGCTGCCTAAATCCAGCAGCGACAGGAACTTCACAACCTACTCACCAACTCAGTTCTGTGACTACCTCCCTCGCTGGCTCAGAGGCATAACGGCTGCAGATCATCTTCAACCCTTTGTGTTAATTTAATAGTTTATTTGATGCTGGATAAGGAGATCTAAGCAGGGCTGTTTGGGGGCAGAGGGTTTCAGTGTGGGCCAGTGCCGACATAACTGCAAGCGTGGACCCCCCTGTAGAGGGCAGAGCCAACAATGAACTGATATTTTTGGAATGATCTTGCAAGATGCAGAACAAAAGCATTTGATTTTCAATTAGAATAAAGAATGGTGAGATAAATAATGTTTCATGTTGCCACTGGAATTATAAATATCTAAAGCTGGGCAGCCATTGTGCAGTTTTGTTGAGACGATTTTCCTCTCATAGGAGAATCTTTGAGGCCGGGGTGAGTTTTGTTTCATTTAGCTTACAAGGGGTCACAAGAGGCAATTAACACCTCAGGACCAGCTCCCGATCAGCAATCGTACGATCACACAAATATCTAACGTGTTTGACATTTTGCTTGTGAAGGTATTGCACTCTTGAAGCAGAGCTGCGACCCAAAAGTACCAGAACGGCTCACACAGCATACACGTCAACATGGCTCGCCAGCTATTTAGGTATCAACACACATCATTTTTTTAAATTACACTTTTTTCTGCACACATTGACAAGGATTGTCAAGAAAGTGTGTTTGCTGTGTTTATGTCAAATAAAACAAATGCCAAAACATAATTTTACTTCCTGTCATCTTCCTTCTCCAACGCCCATAAAGCATCTTGTTCTACGGCAAGCCCAAAGGACAACAGACATCAATAACAACACAACAGCCTCTGGGTTTTTGGAATACATGTTGCGTAAAAATGACTACTTTCAGCACATTTTTAGGTTTGATGTGTTGCTATACACATACAGTGTAAGTAGTCCGGTCATGTCATACTTTGGGAGAATATGACTCGTTAACTTTGCTCTGTGATGAAGTCGTACAGTTTGAGATGAAGCTGAATGCTACCAGTGAAAAAGCTGCACAGTGTACGCCCGGCTTAAGATTAGTTAAGAAAGCAAACCACTATAACCAAAATGCTGTTATTATGTTTCTGTTTTTAGTCACAGAACGTTGACATACTGAATCTAAGGTCTGTCTTGAAAGTGCTTTTTATGGCCTAAACTATCAGGATTTTATTATTCCCATTTAGTTACAGCTCTACTTACCAAAATCACATTAATGCTATAAGGTCACGTATAGGCACAATGTTGTTGACTCGTAGTCTCTAAAAAAGCTAGTTCCTGTCCTCAGGCTGTAGTCAGTTGTACCACGTAGAGCCTAGCTGTGGGAGAAAGGTAGCTTATTGGAAGAGAAATTCGTCTTTTGTTGTTGCTTCTAGAACCACTGAAAGAACGTTTTCCCAGGCATGTGGTGAAATGACAGGTTGCAGTAATAACAAGATTATAAAACTTTTATTGATCCCCCTCTGAAGATGAATTTATAAACCAAACTCCACACATATCTCAGGTTTACATCATTTTTTTCTTTTAACGCAAAGGTATGGCACCAATACTTTTTATAATTTCACCGGAAAAAATGTGGCTGTGGCCATGGTTTTATTTATACAAATGAAGAGGGAGTACGCAACTTTAATAGACCCACTATAAAATAACAATTACACTATATCAACATTCCCCAAAACAGAATCAGCCAGGCCAGCAGGATTTGTTTAAGCCAGTAATTATGGGTGCAAAGTAAATTATACATTCCACTGACGTATTTGTCTGACACCAGTGTAAAACTCTGCCGGACAGAACAGTCAAGGAAGCACAATTGGTTTCCCCTTTGGAAGCGACACAGTGATAAACAACTGATGGAGAATATAAGCCCAGGGGTAGGATCTAGGAGTGACAAACAGATTTATGTATTGGTGAACTCAATAATGCTGGAACCATCAATTCTGTATCCGTGTGACAGTACAAGGGAATGCGTCCTTACCTCCGATTCCCCGTACCTGTCATTATATTTATCCCTCTTCCCTGCTAAGTGCTAATACATTTACATTTTTAGTGCTGCTCAGTAATAAAGAGGTGGGATGAGTGGAGGCCTTTTCTGTTGCTAAAACAAACACCAGTGAGTCACCTCACCTCCCTGCACTCCTCCCACCACCTGTCCACCCACCCACTCAGCTTGGCTGCCGCCCCACAGTGTAGGTCAACAGTGTTGCGGTTCGAGTCTCCTCAAATGCACTCACAGTTCTTGGCCTCGTCTTCCAGGTCACTCACGAGATTCTTCCTCCAGTAGGAGGCACCACATTAGGAGTTTATCCAGTCTGTCAGAAGGTCGGGGGAAACAGTTTACAACCAAAAGGTCAGCAATTCAAGTCACAGGTGAAGCACACAGACACAAACATTGGAAGAGAGTGGTTGAGATTGACTTTAAACGTATTGTTGGGGTGACATGCTAGCCTTGGGTGGTGTCTAATTTGGAAACTACAAAGAAGTACAAACAGTCTCGTTGAGGAAATCACTCAAAAGGTTTTGACAAAACATAAAACTGGCGACAGCCATCGGTAGGATCTTTTTTCACCTGTTGATCAAATGAAACCAAGCAAACACTGGGTTTCATCCACATCGTAAAGCATGGTGGTTTACATTTGAAAAAGGCAGTTTATGCAGAGATAGAACCAATTTCATAAAGAACAAAATAAATAAAGACAGCTGTGCAGAATTTCATTATTCAACAAACCACTAAAAAAGCAAAGCATTTTCAAAACACAGCCCAGTCGGTAACAAAGTTAATAAACAACACACGTGTGCTGCGATACATCTGATGCAAGACTACATTACTGATATCAGGCGAATGATCTGAAGAGGGATCACCAATGCCGACCAGCCCTCAGAGGAACCCTGCCATCTGCTAAATTAGGAAATAAAAAACCTACTTTAAGACAAGTGGTTATTGTGTTGTTTGAAACTGAACAATTCACAGCTTTAAAAAGCCCTTTCTGCTGGTAGGGCACATCAATATAGTTGAGGCATTTGGAATAACGAGTCAATAAGACGATGTACTGTGTGTGTGTGTGTGTGTGTGTGTGTGTGTGTGTGTGTGTGTGTGTGTGTGTGTGTGTGACTGGTGAGCAGGAAAAACAGAGTACCAAAAATGTTTGTTTCTCATCATTAATGAATCCTTTTTGAACTGACTGCTGCGACCCCCGTGTGTGCGAGAGGAACTCTACCTGCGCTCACGCTAAGGTTTGACCTTTCCACAAAGGATACATTCTTACATGTCACAGGAAAAGAGCAAAAAAAGAAATCATACACAGGCCATTACTAAGATGGTGAAGAAACACTCAACTGTGCATTTACACCTAGGGCATTGACTGCCGCCTCCTGCAGGGAAGTGTTCCTACACAGTTTCCATTTAATCACATCCAGTACTTTCAATGTAATGAACAGTAGGTCGTTTTGGAATGGGAGACCAGAAGAAGAAGGCACAGAGGGGTGCTTCAGAAGTGTCCATGCCAAGGGAAATTGTGCATCTATACAGTTTACCAATTACAATATGAACAGCATCTGGCACAATACATCATGTGTAACAATAGTCTATATCTGGAATTCCTCCTTCTCTATAGCCACGGTTGGTGACATGTCCAGCATTGGAAACATGGTTGGAACCTTTGTATCCACCAGTGCCATTGGAGGGGAATATTGTGTGAATGATGTAATCCTCTCGCAAGGGTTTGGGCTGCATTGGCTGGCAGGCTGGCATAGGTGTCATCTGGAAGCCTGGGCCACGAATCTCAAGGATGGTGTTATCCTTTTTGGTGCCAGACTCAATATAATCATCATAGCTTTTACTTTTTCGGGAACTGTTGCGGGTATAGTGGTCACGGGAACATAAATGGCCAGTTCTATGTGCATACCAACAAAAGACACCAAAAATAAGAGCTAGAGACATTGTTGCAGTAGCCCCACCAATAATCCCTGCAAGAGGCAGAACTGTTATCTGCTGTGATTTTTCATCGTCCTCCTCCTGTGGACTCAGGTCTGAGGTCTCAGCTTTTGCACAGACCAGTGCTTCATCTGAGTCAGTATCTCCAGAAATAGTGACTTTGTTTTCTGAAGAGGCAGCCAGTGGCACCATGCAGATGATGTAGCTAGAACGTGGCTGCAAGGACGTGAGCAAATACTCTCGACGATCACCCCGAACAAGGGTCTCTGTGATGGAACCCATGGCGTTCCCGGTTCCAAGTCGAAGCCAGCTCAGCCTGAAAGAAGAGCTTGGTTGAGCCACACTCCAGGTAACACGGACACTGTTGTGAGATAGAGGCTTAACATTTAAGGCCAAGCTCTTCCCCACACCGCTGCTGCTTAATGTGTAGTCTAAGCCGGAGTCAGGGAGCCCCAGACCAGGTCTCTTTGAGCGGAGGGTGAAGAGAGAACCCTGTGGAGGTGTGTTGGTGGTAGAGCTCTCAGCTCCACCCACTGTCACTTTGTCTTTAGTTGCTGTGATTTTCACGACCTCGCATTCCTCCATTTCACTGCTCAAGTCAATCAGGGCCATGTCTCGCACCCGGTCAGGCCCATGGCAAGTGAGACCTCTGACAGTGATGGAGTTACCACGAGCATGCAACCAGTCATACAGCCATCGTAGGTTGCAGCCACAGTGCCAGGGATTTCCACGCACCAGCAGCTGTCCAAGGTTTTCAAGGTCTTTAAACAGTCCCCTTGGTAGTGTAGTCAGGTTATTTCCTGAGAGGTCCAACCTCTGCAGCCTGTGCATGCCATCCAAGGAGCCACGTGGCATATGTGTCAGAGCATTGTCCTGTAGAGACAGTCGCTGCAAATGGGCACTGGGCAGGTTGACAGGAGGGGTTTGGAGGGAGTTGCGGACTAGGGACAACTCGGTCAAGTTAGAAAGGCGGGAGAACGTGTCATCTGCTATGCGTTGGTTTGCCAGAAGGTTCCCATCCAAAACAAGACATCTAAGTGAACTGAGGCCTCTGAAGGCATGGGTGGGGATAGTGGAGATCCGGTTATCATCTAGTCTAAGTTCTTCCAGAGAGTTTGGTAATCCTGAGGGGATGCTAGACAGGTGGTTCCGTGAAAGAAAAAGCAAGCGCAACCGTGGGTTGTCAGCAAACGCCTGATCCTCAATGGAGACAGTGGAGATTGAGTTGTCATCCAAGTGGAGCTTTTCTAACAAGGGCATCCGAGCCAAAGTAGTACGAGGAATGGTACGGATATTGTTGTCTTGCAAATGTAGTTCATGCACAGATGGTGGCAGGTGCATGGGAAACTCATCCAGTTCATTATCATAGAGGTAGACCACACGAACGGAAAGGTGGCGCTCCAAGGAGATGGGAAGGCCTGGATTGTTTATGTGATTGTTCTGAAGATAGAGGACAGATGCAGTAGGGGGCAGCGATGGGATGGAGCTCAGCCCACGATCATTACAGTAGATAAAGTCCTCATCACACCTGCATACAGATGGGCACGTCATGTCAATGTCCTCAATGTACCCTTGTATAGTGGCTGCAGCAAACCGAAGCACGCCAGTGTTTGCTGTCAGGCACAGAAACACCATGAAGAGCCAGGCTCTTAGTCTGAGTATGCATGCAGGTGCCATTATCAGGAACGTTCTTTTGTCCAAGTATGGTGCGGATCCTTAAATTTCTGCACGAAGCAGGAATCCTGTGACCTCCGCCCTGGAAGAAAAAGAGAAAAATCAGTCACCACTGATGCAAAACTGACTTAGATGATGCTTGCAGTTAAAATAAGGGGCAGTTTAAATTATGTTCAGTGAACTTTGGATTTTTATTTGCATATTTTATTTTTATTGTATATATTTTACCCAACCCTAACCCTACCTCTATACTTTTATGTTGAAACAATGTTAAATTCCAGGCATTTGGCACTTTGCAGCAAGGCTGAAATTTTAATTTCTACAATCACTAATCATATAATCAGTCGGATACGCACACATGGAAGGATCTGTAAGAATTTCTAACAGTCTCTCAAAGCATTCTGTCATCATCACAAAGCCAAAAGGGCAACTAACTACTCAGCCAACAAGCATTGTGTTGAATTAGCAACAATAATCCAAGCATACAGACAGCAATAACACAAAACTAGTGTGCTATTCTGAATCTTATCACCACAGGAAAAACTTTGAAATTGTGTAATGCAGACAGAGATGATGAGAATTTCTCCGTGAAAGTCAATTAGGACACATACAAAAGGTGTTCATGCTAAAATATTCTGATTTAAAGAGATTTTACAAGGATGATCTAGATAAATTGGCATTGGCATAAGCAGTAATCAGAGCTTGATTTCTGTTATTGATACTTGTTGTTGTTCCTGGCTGGGGGAGAGGTACCATAACAGTAAACACGTGATGGATTACAGAGATTTGCAAACCAGTAAATTGCTACACAGTCTGTGACAACTTGAGCCTGCAACGGTGTTCAATAATCAGCATCTTTACTCAAAGTGCTCAGGCCCAAACAGCAGCAAACAGACAGAATTATTGATTTTCTCACAAATCCAAAGTGATCTGTCAGAGTCAGTCGGTTTCTCATAGAGATTACAGGACTCCCAGGAGTCAACCGGCATGACAATTAACCAAACGAATGAGGACCTCCACATAGAGATGAAGTTGTTAAATGTGTTATTGCAAACGTTAAATGAACGTGCTCATTTTAAAATGGATGACACAATCTCGGCTGGCAATTTGTTCATTTTTAAGCGTAATGAATTATCATTTCAACAAATAAACCTCAGCAGACATGGAGCCGTGACAGGTCAGGGGTCGTTTTGTGGAAAGTAAGTACGGCATGTTTGTTTGTGAGTCTGGGTGCTTTGTAATATAATTTATCATTATTTCATCTTGCTGAATATGGAGGTGAACTTCAGGGTCTGACAGACGGACATATTCACGGTTGTTTACTTCTGATGGTTGTGACAGTTTTTGATTAAAGCCGAAAATTATGTCTGAATAATATAAGCTTCCTGAAAAGCCTGTGTTTGGAGAAATAGAATTTATCCATGAGTAAACTGCTAGTCTGCGCACAGCCAAGACCAAAGTAGATCATTAGTTTCTTAAATTACCTCCAATCTCCTAAAATATATCATAGCAGTTCATGTTTATAAACCATTTAATGCCTTAAATGCTTGGTTAGGTGGAAAAATTTGGTTATTTACAAGAGCATAGATTAGACGTAGTAGCAAAACGTAGCACTTCTAGAACATCTCTGGGCCAGATTCAGCAGGAGTATCTTATACTTTTGCCAGAATAGCAGTATAAATAACATTTGAATGAACTGCACTAACATGTATTAGACAGCAGTTGTTTTAAGCTGGCAGCAATCCACTTTGGAGTTGGATATCTTTGGTTCATGATAAAAGATGACCCGTCAAAAGCCGATCCTGTCACGATACGAGCAAGGAGATGGTTAGGACCCAAAACGCAGATACTCAGGATGACACGAGGCAGGAGTGAAGATTAAGAAAAATCCTTTATTTTGGATGAACCAAAAATAAAATAAATCCAAAAGGCTGGAAGCCCAAATCCAAAAATTGTCCAAAGCTGAACTGGAGATCCAAAATACTAGAAACTACGAGACACTGGAAGCACTGGAAACACTAGAGATAACACGAGAAGAGTGTGACAGGAGCACAATGGACCGACACAACACTGAGACAAGGAGACGGTTTTATACACTGGGGCCGGAGTGAGACGAGGAGCAGGTGTGTGGAGAATGGCACAGGTGAAAACAATAACTGAGAGGAGGAGCAGAAAGGAGCAGGGGAGGACACCAGACCTGACTGGGGAAGGACACACACACACACACACACACACACACACACACACACACACACACACACACACACACACACACACACACACACACACACACACACACACACACACCTGAAATAAAAGTCCTATAGAAACTAAGGTGGGGAGACTAAGAGACATGAAGAAAACCAGGAGGGAGCTGGGGACAAAAAGGCTGGAGCTACAAGGACACAGGACTTGGGAGGAATGCTCTGGAGGGCTGCAAACAGGAGACACATGAAGAACACAAAGAGACACATAAATGAGACGCAGACAAAGGACACATGAGGGCGCTAGGAGACACTAAGGTGAACCTAGAGAGGGATGGAGAAAACAAGGAGACACATGAGGGGAGATGCAGACGCAGACCATGACAGATCCAACATTGTTTTATAAACTTTAACATCCTTTTTATTTTGTATGATGGTTATTTCAGCAGAAATATTTCTTTAAATGCCTGCACGTACTGTAATTAATCATTTTGCTGTTCCTAGCAACATTCAAACAGGTAAACATCCATGTAAATCATTATGCAGAATAAAACTGAGGCAGGTGTAAATATCTATGAAACAACATTAGTTAGAATGAACAACTGTGGAATTGGTTGGGGCTTAGAGAAGGTTGGACACATCTGTAAAAAAAAGTTAAAAGTCATTCTTATTTACACAATACTTTTCTTTTATTGTGAATTCACATATTTGGCGCATCAAACACCAGCAGGAACCTCTATTTATAGCATGTCCTGCTCAATCTCCACTGTGACCATTTCTCTTGTCAGATTTGTCAGGTTCTGGTCAATGGTTCTGGTTCCTGATTCTGGTAAACACGTCTCTGGGTTTGCTCATCATGAACCGTTGACAGTGACATCCCACTGTGTCTCAGCACAATGTTAAAATTCACTTTTCCATTCACCTGCTACCTGCTAATACCCCTTTGTGCCCATTTCCACTCCTATCCCCCGACACAGCAAAGTGGAGTCAGTGCACTTTAAGTGGAACTTGAAAATTCAAATAAAAAATTCAAAGGAGATTGTTACTTTTCACAGTTTGATATAGACTCATTTTACAAGCAGAGAGGATCACATCCAGTGTTTTCTGCCATAAAAGTTCTCATGGCTTTGGTGTGTGTGTGTGTGTGTGTGTGTGTGTGTGTGTGTGTGTGTGTGTGTGTGTGTGTGTGTGTGTGTGTGTGTGTGTGTGTGTGTGTGTGTGTGTGTGTGTGTGTGCGTGGGTGTGTGTGCGTGGGTGTGTGTGTGTGTGTGTGTGTGTGTGTGTGTGTGTGTGTGTGTGTGTGTGGGAGAGAGTCTAAGTAGTGCTAAAGAATGGATGACTTTTGAATCCCAAGAGCTTCAGCAGTGAGTCTCTTGAACACTGGAGTATTTGGGTCAACCCTCTAAAAACAAGATAGATGTGGTGTGAGATTGAAGTGGTGCAGGGAGCCTGAAGGATTAATAGAGCATATTGAGCTGCAATTCTCTGGATTAGGCAGGTGCTTTGTGGAATACCACACACACGTTTTAAATTGTTAGCTTTTTTTCTCCTCACAGTTGCTCTTTTCTCACTCTTTCTTAGTAATAAAAGGAAAAAGGTAAAGAAACCCTTTGTGTGTGCATGTGTGTGTGTGCATGTGTGTGTGTGTGTGTGTGTGTGTGTGTGTGTGTGTGTGTGTGTGTGTGTGTGTGTGTGCAAAAACTGAAGAAGTGCACTTTGTTTGTACATGCACAATTAAACTAAATGCATTAACCCACATGTGGATGGTCTATGGCTGTTGTCCACTATCTTTAGTGGGGAGTGAAGCAGGGGATGTGGGGTAATGTGTGAGGCAGACATCCAGCCGCCTCAGGCAGAGTACACATGACACACACAATGACCCCCCCCCACCCCCCCACCCCACACACACACGCACACACAGATTAATACTGGAACCCAAGGCTGGATCGATTTACATAAAAAAGCAGACAGGGACAGACACAGAGAGAGAGAGAGAGAGTGACATAAAGCAGCTTTTAGCAGGACTTTTGAATCCCATCTCCTCACTAAGACCCTCACAGAATCTGGAAAACTGGATTTTAGATTTGCCAACGGAGCTGCTGATGTATCAGGAAATCCACTTCACTGATGGCAAGAATAAAAAAAGATAATTGTGGCACACGGCTTATCTCTACAGCATGTCCATGCATCACATTTTAGACTTACGGAGCCTACATGTGGAAAAGATGATGCATAACACGATGGGCCGAGTGATGACGAAGATAAAGCAGGAGATGAGTGATAGTGGAAAGGGAGGGAATCATGGCCCAGTTATTTTCAGCCATCACAGAGATTGTGAGGTTTAAGTTGTTTCGTATTTCTCATTCAGACACACTGCATTATTCTAAAATAACACATCTGGAAACACAAATTTTATTCTTTACAACAGAACAAACATGAATAATAAGTCTTTTCCCATGTACAGAATCTAAATTTAGCATAAACGACAAGGCAAATGAAACAGCAACGATGATTTGTTAGTTTTTTTGCTGCTCAAATGTTTCAAATTAACATCCTGTTTGCATCATCTGGTATTTTTTCAGTGTTTGAGGTAATGATAAATCTTAATCATGAATTACTAGATGTTCCAAAGCATTATAATTAATTGGTATCACCCTTTTTGGGTTAAGATTGGCTAAAACACAGGAGCCAAGGCTCCACCATTACCATGCTCAACTCTCAGGCTTGGTTCCAGGAGTACTAGAGGTTTTCCAGGCACGTCACAGAGGGAGGAAACCTTTGGACAGAGCCAGAACATGGTGGAGGGATCATGTATCCTCTCCAGACTGGGAGTGCCTTGGGATTCCCCAAAATGACTGGGCTATGATCCTTAAGCCAA